TTCTAATAGTAACTGAGTTTGTCCATGGTCAAGATTTTGTCGGCCCCTTTTCTGTGGCTCTGGGCCTTGGATTAGTAATGGCTTCCTCTTATTGCTAGTTTAATACCTTCCTCTGCCCACATCTAGGTAAATAGTGATTTCATTAATTTTTTTTTTCCATTTAGTCTGTGTACTGGCTGTTTCTTCCTGGGGCCCCAACTAAAGTCATTTTGAAAACATCATTCTTAATTTATTGGTTCAAATTTATATAATCAACCATTCAACAACACAAGGTTTAAAAACCACCATACAGCACATACCATCCTCTCTTGTACAACAGAACAGAAAAGATGATTTGAAACCAGTTCATCATTAGCATAAGCCTTTATTACAAAATGCTGGACATGAGAAGGTTCCAAAGGAGCACCGTAACCTGGGGAAGGATGGCAGAATTCTTCAAAGATTTTTTTTTTTAATTATTATTTGTCAGAGAGAGAAAGAGAGCACACAGGCAGGCAGAGTGACAGGCAGAGGCAGAGGGAGAAGCAGGCTCCCCGCCGAGCAAGGAAACCGATGTGGTGTTCCATCCCAGGATTCTGGGATCATGATCCAAGCTGAAGACAGCCACTTAACCGACTGAGCCACCCAGCCATCCCAAGGATGGTAGAAGTCTTAATAGGATTTTACCTAAAGGGGTCAGTCAAGGTTCAGCTGGTTTGGGGAATATAGCAGTCCCCCTTATCTGTGAGGGGATGCATTTCAAGAACCCCTAACACCAGGGATGCCTCAGTGGCTCAGTCCATTAAGCATCTGCCTTCGGCTCAAGTCATGATCCCAGGGTCCTGATATTGAGGCCCCATTGGACTCCTTGTTCAGTGAGGAGCCTGCTTCTCCCTCTGTCTGCAACTCACCCTGCTTGTGCTCTCTCTGTTTCTGAAAAATAACTAAATAAAATCTTAAAATAAAAGGACTCCTAATACCAGATAGCACTGAACCCTATATAGATTATGTTTTTTCCTATACATACATACCTATGATAAAGCTTAGTCTATAAATTAGGTACAGTAAGAGATTAACAGCAATAACTAATAATGAAAGAGAACAATTATAATAATATGCTATAATAAAAGATGTGTGAATGTGGTCCCTCTCAAAATATCTTTTCATACTGTACTCAAGAAGGCTGAGTTCTTTTAAGTTCTTTTAAGTTTATTTAGACTTTTTAGAGAATGAAACACAAAGAACAGAAATGGATTAAAATAACTCGGCACACTTTTGAGACATTTACATAAATGTCTCAAAGTGAAAAATTATGCCTGCTTAAAACAATGAACTAGATACAATGAACAAGGTACTAGAAAAAAAACAAGGTACTAAAAAAAATTTAAAATATTTTTTAAAGTTTAGGTAATTGAGTCCCTAAGCAAGGAAAGTTGGTTGAGGAAGATAATTTGCCTCAAATATTGTGATTGCAATTTAAATTATATTAGAGAACCTGAAAAAATACCTAATACAATTACTGAGATATGAAAACTCTTTTACTTCTCCCTTTTTCCTTCCTAGTTACCTTGTCATATGCCATCTGACCTTTCACTGAGTAAGAAGAAAAGGAGTCCACTGTTCCAGGAAAAAGGCAGAACAAGTTCCAGGAAAATACTAATTCTTCCTCTTCCTTCCCTCAGCTCCATTAGGCTATTTATACTGCAAGCTGGAAAGCTCAGGGCTGGAATAACTAAAATCAACTCTAAGAGACACGAACATTTATGAGGGAAGAGTGTTTGTGGACCATATAAATTTGCTTCCTTTCGAGTCAACACTAGTGCCAGGGGGAAATACCCTATTCCCCACTCCATGTGAGATTTGGTCAAGGTAAGAACTGTCTCTCATTTTTACATATTCTGTAAAACTCTGATTTACAACACTGGATAAATTCTGTTCTAAAGCAACTACACTCAGTGGTTCTCACTGTGATGTCTTCTTTGCTGCCTTTGAAGTTAATACAAATGTATTTTTCAAGAAGCCAAACACGTGTTGATTATTTCATTTTTCTTATAGATGGTCAGAGTATTGCATTTCATGGGGACTGCTTTAAAACTCATAAAAACAAACTGGAAAAAACTTTTTTTAAGCAAATGAAATAGAACAAAGAGGTTTTCTTTTTGTTTTAATTCTAGGAACTCATGAATCCCTATTAGCAATCCTTTTTAGTGTCTGCTGAGGTACCTGGGAACAACTAGACACAGTTTGCTGTTTCTTATCTTACTAACTTATTTATACAGCTACTTTCCTATAGGAGTACCTTTTGAGATTATTCTCACCTGTGCTTTATGCTTACTTCCTTTCTTTCTGTCTGTTTCTTGTTCCATGCCTTCATCCCTTCTCATCTCATTCATCTGCAATAGCTGATTTTCCACCTCTAAATTAACCCCATAATGTCACTTGCTGTTTAAAATTCTTCAGTGTCTGCCTTAGTTTTCAGGACAAAAGTCAAGCAATAAGATTGTCCTCAAATTGCAAAGGACCAACCTTATTCTGAAATCTTGTTTCTTTATCACTTTGTTAAAGAAAAATTATTCAAGCCATTCATGACACTCCTTAAAGATGGTAAGGAAGATTTTATTTAAGAGGAACCACAACAATGAGTGTTCGGGAGTGGGGAAAAGAGAGGCAGCTCACCTTCTTTTTATTTTTATTTTTTTTTTAAGATTTTATTCATTTATTTTTGCAAGAAAGAGAGAGAGCAAGCATGAGTGGGGGGAGGGGCAGAGGAGCCCCATGTGGGCAGGACTAGATCCCAGGACCCTGGGACTATGACCTGCCTGAGCCAAAGGCAGAGGCTTACCAACTGAGCCACCCAGGGACCCTGCAACTCACCTTCTAAACACAAGGGCAAGCAGCAATTTATAGCCAAGGTCCATGGATGGAAAATTACTGAAAAGAAACATCAAGTCTTCAGGGATTCTTGCTAGATTGGCTTAACTGGCTTCTTACGGAAGGCAGGCCAGGATGAGAGGCACTGTGCTGAGGGATGAGGAATTTGAGCAGATATGGAGGGTGATCAGGTTCCAAGGGTGAAGATTTTCCCTAAATTAACTCAGCAGAATCCTTGCTAACACTGGACTAAGTGAGCTTAGGACAGAGCTCAAGGTCAAGGACTAGTCAAAAGGAGACCCACTGTCACTCATTTCTTTTTTGCTCCCATATTAGCTCCCATAATTTGCAGCACAAAATTCTTTCATTGTATTCCTCTGATTCATACCATATGGTTGTAAACATGCTATTCCCTCAGCCTGAAATTTTCTTTGTACCTGCAAATAGTTTACTCCTACTTATCTTTTAAAATTCAGCTTAAATATCTCCCTTTCTTGGAAGTCCTCTCTGACCCACAAGTCCAATTTGGTTACTCCTCTTCCGGGCATCCCCCTTCATTCATTCAACAAGTATTTTTTTAGTGCCAACTGTGGATGATTCCAAGAGCGAGACACTGAAGATGTGATGGAAAACAGCATGAATGAAGCTTGCAAATTCATTCTATCACACTTAAAATAGTTGTTCATTTAGCTGCTTATCTCTTCCTACCACCTTCAGTTCTGTGAGAGAAAGGCCACGGACTCTTAAACATTGTGTCTCTAGAACTTGGCCCACAATATGATGTAAATATTTGTGGAAGGCAAGAATTAATGAGGGCAGGAAGCCAGAATGGAAGATGTTGGGGAAATAGAGTTAAAAACTCTCATGCTATATTAGTTTGCTAGGGCTACTGTAACATAGTACCACAGCCTGGGTGATTCAAGCCATAGAAATTTATTGCCTCTCATTAGAATTCATTTAGAATGTGCATTATGAATCTCTTCTTTCCTGTAAAAACAAGAGGAAGGAAAATGAAGAATTATGTAGATAAATTATCACACTGATCAGGTACCTAACTACAGTGGCCTCAGATAAGCTCCTAATTTCTCCAGCATTCCATTCTCTGAAGACCACACTGCTTTAGTCACAGTAACAAAGAATGTCAAGAAGCATGTAAAGATACACATTTTTTTTCCTGGAACTAGATATTGTGCAAACACAGTAAACATTTTTTAAAATGATTTAAATTAGGCATAAAAGGAGAACAGCAGGAAAGTATAGAAAGCATGGTGATTGTGGGATTATAGACAATTTTGTTAATATTCTTGTTTTCTAAATTTTCTACAATAATATGTAAAATAATTATAACAATACTTTTGTTAACACTTGAACAATGAGAATTTCTAATTCCATTATTTTTCTGGGTCATTTTCCCTAATTCTATGTGCTGGGAAAAATAAGTATACATGGAATTGTTTGTCTCCACTCCAATGTCTGTTGTTTTTTGGCAACATGAAATATCCAGTTTTAAAGAGCAGCTGCTGAGGAGAGTAAATAGTTATTAGTGGGGTTGTACTTATTCTTCATGATTTCCGCCAAGATCTTGAAGACAGTCTTATTTACTCCCAAGATAGCAGTTGGAGGCACACATCCGGATTTCGTCGTTTCCCATGTAGCTTCACTGGAGTATCAGATCATTGAGTTCTAATTATATATTTTAGCTGTGATGCAAATAAAGAAGTCTTTGGGGTTCTTTTTTCAGCTATTTACAAACTTTCTAACATAATGCAGCTAGATGGAACTCCAGTAGGATGTAAGATTCAGCAAAGCATTTTGAAAAATATCCTGAAAAAGTGGAGGGATGAATGGCTATGACTTTCCTGTCATATGAATCTGTGTCTGGACTGTGTGTTAATTATGTATTTCTGAAAACAGATGGAATGGCCAGACCAAACTGCATGACCATGAACAAAAGCCAAGGTGTCTGTGAAAATATGGTTTTACAAAAGGCCACCTTCTTAAGGGTTAGTTGAACAGCCACAAGTTCCACCGTTTGGACTGAGCTGGCAGTGCCCTTCTCTACCAGAGAGGTGCCTGAGGCTGCTGGACAGTGAGTTCATTGTTTATGATGCCATCAGTGCAGAATACTGACTCCCATCTCAGGCAGTTGGTCCTGAGGGGTTCACCAAGTAGCCAGAAGAGGAAGAAGTGGGAGTATCATTCCCAATTCCACAAGGCTCTCAGGCAAGGGGCTGAGTCTGGTGGAATTCACATTCTCCTCTAATTTGAAAAGACCTTTGTTGTCATTTTGAGCTCTGTTCTGAAGGTAAAATTTCCATTTTACCATTTTCCATTAGAGGCTTTGCTGACCTTCTGCTGGGAGGCATGTCTAGCCCAGGGCATTGTAGGAACTTGAATACAGAGTAGTAATGAGTGGGGGCTGATTAGGACCTGGGTTTCCAAAAGAGCCCAACAGGCTGCCAAAAGTTGGCACTCAATAGGGATATACTGGACTGCCACTGAGATGGGCACTTAGTCTAAGACCCCATAGAAAGTCAGTTAGATTTATGTTTGGTCCAGAGTTTCCAGGAGGTATGGTCAAGTGTGACCAAGGATGTAGAGCCAGGTGGGAGTAAAGTTGAGGCTTGCTGGAATGCCAGTTAGGCAGCTTCTAAAATGCACTGTTGAGCTTCACCCCTATGGAAGCTGGCAGAATTGTGGATGATTGCATATAGAGGGCAAAGCATTAGGAGAGAACATGAAAAGACCTAGTATGTGCTGTCCCTATCTGAGTATAACAAGTGGTTCAATAGTGAGTAATTGATGTTTGATGACCAGGAGAATCTCTCAGCACCTAGATGACTAAATGGTGCTCAGAAACTTGACAGGTGAGGCTATGCCTTGGATCTTGTGGGGTGTGGCTTCCCGGCCACACTGCCTGTACTTCCAAATCAAACTGAAATTTGATGAGAACAGAACTGAACACATTAGCTAGAACAGTGACCACACAGGACACTCCTTGGGCCAGTTGTAGGTCTTCTATCAATTCTACAGCAATAAGATCCTTAATAAGGGAACATAGCTGAAGTTTCCATAATTAGTGGTACAATTAAATACAAGCCAAATGGGGCTATTGAAAGGGGAGACTGTGGGCTTAATAATTCTGTCTCCATCATATTTTGAATAACAGGGTGTAGGTCCTCCGTGCTCTATTTAAGTTGGTATTGGAGGATGTTCACCATCCTGACTGGAAGAGAAAGAGGCATCAGTGTCCACTGGTGGGTTCTACCAGGACGGCCAAAAAATTGGGCTTGTTCCATACAGAGTGGTGTCAATGCATCCATGCCTGTAATAGGAAACAAAGAGCCAAGGGGACCACAACCAGAGGAAGGTATTTGAGGCAAGTGGTACCAACATTTGCATCAAGATGGATTTGTACACTTTCTGGTATTTTACTGGCAATGCCCAGTATGGAGAAGAGCTCCCTCTTTGGGAATGAATTTAGGAATGAATTAGGAATGAATTTAGGAATTTCAGAATGGCAGGGACTTGGAAACCCAAATCTAATTGGGCCAAAGAGACTGTGTGTTTTTATTGTGCCAGTGGACCATCAGAGTGGTACAGGGGAGACTATCACCAGGAGGTGAGATAAGCCCTGGGGGGCCACCAATTTCTTAGGGTAGGTGCTAAGGTGTCTGCCAGCATTAGGGGTCAAGAAAGGGGCAGAAGGAATATCAGGGACAGAGTTGGACGCAGAGCAGTTAGAGGACAGTTACATGGAAGGTGGATGGTCTGTAGAAGGGGGCTGTAGCTGGGAGATTACTAGTTTTAGGGTCTGCAGTTTAGAGATGGGCTGTTCAAAGATAAAGTGTCCAGGAATTCTGAGATTTCATAACTCTCAGTAGAGGTTTGCCTATGTATTCTCACAAGGGGCAAAATTAGATCAGGGATTTATTAGAAAGGGAGTGAGAACCTCCTTTTATTAGGGAAATTTGTGTAAGGGTAACCCCCATGGGACAACAGAGGCAGAGGGATATAAGTGGAGTATCTGGGTATTTAGGTGGGAATTTCTTCCATGTTTAGCAGCCATGTCCTCCAGTACTTTTCAATGGTTTTGGCAGTTCCAATAAAATGTAATAGAACTTCCCTATAATTAGGGAGAGTACTTTGTAAAATCCTCTGGTTTTGGAATCCAATGGGGCCCATTCAGGATTAGAAATGAAGAGGGGGTTATTTGGGTTAGCATGGTTATCAAAAAGATAAGAAATAACAAGTGTTAGCAAGAATATGGAGAAAAGGGTAATTTTGTGCACTGATGGTGGGATTGTGAGTTGGTTCAGCCACTATGGAAAACATTTTGGAGATTATTAAAAAAATTAAAGTAGAACTACCATACTATCCAGCAATCTCACTTCTGGGTATATATCTGAAGGAAATGAAATCACTATCTCAAAGAGATTTCTGCACTCCCATGTTGACTGTTCATTGCAGCATTACACACAGTAGCTGAGACATGGAAATAACCTAAGAGTCCATTGATGGATGAATGGATAAAGAAAATGTGGTATATAGATGCAAAAGAATATTATTTGGCAGTCAAAAAAGAAGAAGAAGAAGAAGAAGAAAAGAAGAAAAAGAAGAAGAAGAAGAAGAAGAAGAAGAAGAAGAAGAAGAAGAAGAAGAAGAAGAAGAAGGAGAAGAAGGAGAAGAAGAAGGAGGAGAAGGAGAAGGAGAAGGAGAAGAAGAAGGAGAAGAAGAAGAAGAAGAAGAAAATCCTGCAAGTTGCAGCAACATGGATTCACCTGGAAGGCATTATCCTAAGTGAAACAAGTCAGAAAAAGACAAATACTGCTTGTATTTGTTCACTTATAGGTGGATTCTTAAAATGTTGAGTTCATAGAAGTAGATGGTAGAATGGTGGTTATCAGGGCCTGGAGGAGGGGGTGGGAGACATGGAGAGATTTTAAAGAGGACAAACTTATGGGTATAAGATGAATAAACTTAGGGGACCTCCTGTATAGCATGGTGAGTACAGTGAGCAATACTGTAAAAGTATAGTGCTCAGAGTGTAGACCTTACATATTCTCAACACACACGCAAAAGGTAACTATATGAGGTGATTGAGGTGTTAAAACTAAGCTTATTGAGGTAGACCTTTCATAATATATGTGTGTATCAAATCATAACTGCACACCTTAAACTCATACAATGTAATGATGCAATTATATCTCAATAAAGTTGGTTGCAAAAGAGACTAAAGAAAAAAGATCCTACTCCATGTACTGATTTATTTTTAATTTTTCTAAAGCAATCTGTATGCCCAACATGAGGCTCAAACTCATGACTCTCAGATTAAGAGCTGCATACTCTCCCTACTGAACCAGGAAGGAACCCTTCCATATGTGGATTTAAACTTGAGTTTCTCACTTGATACACAATTTTGAACATCTTCCTAGTTCAATAAATGTAGGATTAATTATTACTTTTAAAATACATAGTACTTCATTGTATGAAGGTACCACAATTTATTCAACCTTCTTGTACATTTACTTAATTACCATCTTTTTAATCAAAACAATACAAAACAAATATCCTTCTAAGTAAATCTTTGTATTTATCCTGCATAATTTCCTTTAGATAAATTTCTAGAGAAAGATTCCTGAATCAAATGCTGTAATGTATGTGATGTATTATGTTAAGGCGTGTGTGTGTGTGTGTGTGTGCGCCCACGCACATGTGTGTATACACACATATATGTAAGAATGAAAGAGGAATGACACCACAGTGCCTGGAGTTAGAAAGACAAGAGTTAGCACCTAAATTTACCAGCTGTGTGACCTTGGGGAAGTTTCTTAACTCACTGTGCTTCAGGTTCCTCATCTATGTTCATGAGAAAAATTAACTGCCTGCCACCTAGGCTGTCATGAGAAAATGCATGTGAAGGGACACCTGGGTGGCTCAGTCGGTTGGGCATCTGACTCATGACTTTAGCTCAGGTCATGACCTCAGGGTTGTGGGATTAAGTTCTGTGTCAGACTCCTTTTTGAACATGTACCCTGCTTAAGATTATCTTTCTCTCTCCTCCTGCCTCTTCCCATCCCACCCCCACTCTCTCCCACTCTCTCTCAAGGAAGAAAGAAAGAAAAGGGAAGAAGGAAAGGAAGAGCCCATGAAGTGCTCAGTACAGTGCCAGACAATGAGTCCTTGTTAAAACATGTGTTAATACGTTTAAAATGTATGTATTCTTGGGGTACAAACCACCACAGATACTATAATGCAAGTGCTCTTAGAAGTCACAGAGAAGCCCCTTCACAACTGAGTTACACTAATAAAAGTAACACACAATGGATGAGCTCAGATATAGACAGATATCACAAGAGAAAAAGTGTCTTCCAGGGTAAAAGTTTAAAGACAGTACTAGATTGCAACCTAATCAATAATATTAATAAGGCTAAAGATTCTGATAACGGAAGAGGGATGGTTGATTTTGAAATAGGAATATTGGGAGGAGGTATGACAGAGGCACGGTCCAGGAGAAAAATTGTTCATGGACCAACATGGACGTTGGCTCAGTAACTCCACCGCTTCAGTGGAAGTGGGTGCACCACCATCACTGCTGGTTGGCAATAGGAATGAAAATCATTCAGTTCATGTCCCTTGTTCTTTCCCGAGGTTGCCTTAATAACCCTAATTATAATTTCCATTCCCATGGAAACTGTGCTGTAGAGAAGAGAATGCACTGACTGAATCTAAGTATTTTAGCCCATGTAATAGTTGTATTTTAGGAATAAATTAATAAATCAGTGTTCTATTTTGTTAAAAAAGTTATGATAAAATGTATACTTAAAATGTGCATGGAAATATACTGATAAACTTGAAAGCACTTTATGAATGTTCACTATTATGTTGGCAAAAACTCACCATATTCTGGGAAAAATCTGCATAAAAGGGAAATACCTTCCTGCCTGCCTTCCTTTCATATGTGTTCTGGGAGTGGTGAAGTTGGGGCAGGCCCTTAGTGTTGAACAACAGACTAGTGGAGGAAAGTCCTTGCTCCAAGAATAAGGACCACAACAGTAGCTATGAAAAATTATAAACCCAGATATGTATCTCTAGAGCCGAACCCATAGTTTAATGGTCACTTACAACTTAAAAACGAATTGAATTTTAATTTTCTCACAGATGCATTAAAAAGGAATTTATCAAAAAAGAAAAAAAGCAATCTATCATGACTTTTAAAGGAGCTTTCAAGTGGAAACTTGAGGAGCACAGTAATAGATACTGAATGAATTTTATTACTGTTCTGGTGTCTGATAATTCTGTATTTTATTTCTCCCCAAAAGAAATCAACATTAATTAGAATTAATTAACTAATAACCAAAATCAGAAATTTTAAGCTATTTAAGAATTATAAATACAGATCATATCTCCCAACTCACCCAACATTTGTTTGGCCAGAATAGAAAATTTCAACATTTAGAAAATTTCAACATTTGGGTTTTTTGTTTTTTGCTTTTAAGATTTATTTATTTATTTTAGAGGGAGAGAGACAGGGAAGAGGGACAGAGGGAAAGTGAAAGAATCTCAAGCAGACTCCCTCCTGAGCATGGAGATCAACCTTATCACCCCAAGATCATGACCTGAGTCAAAATCAAGAATCAGATGCTTAACCAACTGAGCCACCAAGGTGCCCCCCAAAATTTCAGCATGTGAGTCAAACTCATTAAAAGATCTCAAGGCCTTTATTACAGATGCATTTATCTAAATAATTAACTGTCTTCAAAATCTTTTTGGGAAATATTGTGGGAAGGGGGTAGTGAAGGCCAGTTTGTCCATCCAGGGGTTATGACAGGTAAAATATATGAAATAATGAAACAAAGCAAAAAGGATCGGAGTTTAAATCAAGCAAGAAGAAGATTTTCAGAAGAATAAGATTCTGGGTCATTAGTAAGAAAAATTTTGTTTGGGAACAGAATGTACAGAAATTCATCGAAATTTGACAAAATTTGTTCAGAATTTAAATGCACTTCTTATATTAACTGAAGTCATTGCCTTTATCAGTTATACAAAAACTATAAGATCCAGGTGTAAATTTATATAAATATGAATGTCCTTAAAAGTTTTTAAAACAAATGTAACATATATTTTAACCATGAAGCAAAAGTCCTGTGATCTTTGCTGTTATGTCCTTATATTACCTATTTATTCACTTTCACTATCCTGTAAACCATACCACTTAGAAGGGAACCTGAGTTCACCTTCCCCTAAACCTGTTTATATGTCTCTTTCAAGGTCATGGCGTTTGGTGGTAAAAGGTTTACTTCAATCATCACCTTGCGATCATCACCTTGAATCATCTATAATCAAATGCTGATAGAAAGTAAGTGTTGGTTGATCATGTAGTTGTCACCTAAAGCTTTTTAGTGAACATAAGAAATAGAGTATTTTGTTGATTATTTCTAAAAGAAACCAACTTAGAGAAAGAAAATTTGAGTTCAGGGTCATCTAAGTAAAAGGCCACAGTTTTTTGATTGCCCTAAAAGAAATATCTGTTTCCTAGACATATAGGATCAAGACTTCTGAAAACCAGGTTCAAAATCTAATCCTGGAGTTGGTTAAATAATAATGCAAGATGAATCCCAACTCTCCCTAGTCTCTTAGGTTAATGTTAGGGCATCTATTATGCCTGAAAAATTGGGATGATAAAATGAGAGCAGATTCTGATGCAGTTGAGATAATCAAACCCTAAATTTTGTCAAGCCACTCTTGTCACTTGGAGCATCGTCTTCTCTCCTGTTTTAGAAAGTTAGTGTGCCCTTACCTGTAGAGGCTGTACAGGTCTCCTGTGAGGGAGATGTCTTGCACAGACTTCTAATTCTCCTCAAGACTTCCTTTCCACTACAGCATGGATCTTTGAATGAAATTCATGAGTGAAATCTCCATTCTTGTGCAAAACTACCAAGCAGCTCTTTTTGTTCTACATTTCTGTATGACTTGACAACCCAGTCTCCCCAGACAGCTTAAGAAACCCCATGTGATAAAGACAAAACTAAATAAACAATAGGAAACCACTGTCTCAAAGCTGTCATTAGCAATAAAAATAAAGCATAAACTGAAATAATTTGAAGAAAAAAAACAAATGATGGAAGAGAGTAGGAAAACAAAAAGAAAGCAGTCAGAGAATAAAATGAGTTTATGGGAGTTAAATATATAATAGTAGAGATGACAAATAGTAAAATATTTTGAAAGATAAAGTAATATTCCACAAAATATATAAAAAGGCAGATATATTAATGGGAACAAAAGGATACAACTAGAGGATTAGCTCTGGAAGACAAACTTTCATAAAATAGGAAATTAGAAAGAGAGAATAAAAAAAAAAAAGGGAGAAATTGTCAAAAATAGTTCAAGAAAAATTTCCAGACCTGAATGACCTAAGTTTCCATATTGAAAATGTCCACAGAGATGCCTTATAAAAATAAATGAAACAAAACCACAGAAGTATATCATTATGGTATTTTAGAACATTTAGAAGAAATTCTAATTACTAATAGGAAAAAAGAAAACAGTTTAAAATGATGAGATGAAATGGAATTGATTTCTCATAGAAATACTTGAAGCAAGGCAACAGTGAATCAAGGTCCATTCATCCTTTATATGGAAGCTACTGGAAGATGGGTTCCACTAGAACAAGAGTACATCCAGAGGGTAAGAAAAAGAAACGTGAAATACACAAGAGACATTCAGGGAGTCCCCAGGATTATGGTCCAAAAGCTCTTAGGATGAACACCTGGGCAGCAGACCCAGAAGGAAAGCAGTTCTTATGGGACTAGGTCAGGAGGCTTCAGGAAAGTTTCCTCCAAAAGATAAAATTAATAGAATATGTCTAAGTGTTTCAACTTAATGACACAAGAGTTACACAAATAGGAGACATATGAGAGTTGAATTAATTACAAGTACACAGAAAACCAAGCAACCAAAAATAGTAGAAGATTCCAGGGAGAAAAAATTTCAAGTCACCATAGTATACTTCATGGCTTGGTACTAAAGAGCTAACCAGTCACAACAGTGATGTAGAAAATTGGGAAAATGGAAAAATAAGAAGCATGCCTGCAGGTACTTATAGAGAAAAATAAGTCAGTACTCTGCTTTTGTAGTGCCAAATTCATAAATCATTCCTAAAACGGCAAATTTAGGGTTGGCTGGTCTCAATAGATTACAGAGACAAAAACCAGAAGATTGAAATTGTTGCCTGGAAGGTGAGATGGAGGTGAAGGGGTAAGGGAGCCGTTTTCTTGGTAAGCCATGCAGAACTATTTGACTCTTTAAAATATGTGCTTGAATAATTTTGAGGGCTCTTTGACTCAGTATGTGCATGTATGGATTTGAGAAAAGTTTAAAAAACCAAAACCACAATTTATTCACAAATGATTAAACATTTCTGATCCTGCATAAGTGAAGTCTTAGGAGATTAAGCACAAACCAAGATAAATGAGTGGATAATTATAATCAAATATATTATGGTTCATGTAATTTAATCTAAATGTTACTCATCTTAAACTCAGTAGTTTGAGGGAATCAATAATAATGCACAGATGACACTTAAAAAAGGAAGAAATTGTTTTTTAAGTCGTTCATCTATTTTTTTTTTTTTTGTTAAATATTGCAGGGAATAGTTTTTCCAGGTATCATCATTTCTTGTATTCTGATGGTGGGGGGGGGCTTTCCCATAAATCTTGACACTCAGGACAATTTATCTTTGATTCTCCAGGTCAGAGTTGGATATCCCTAATAGCCTAATATAGATGTGTGAATTTCACCATATTTTTATAGATTATTCTTTCTTCTCAGTCAGTGGGGTTTGTGACCAGTCACTGTAGCTTTTCTTTTCTCATTCCTATAAATGTTGGCCAGGTTGAAAGTCTAACATCAAAACGTAATGAGTGTAATTGATTGTTGGAAAGAAAAACCATCTGAAAATGGTTATTCCCTCCCACCCCGAACTAATGTATAGGTTCTGGCAAAAATGTCCCTTCTGTTATTTTTAAGACTGCCCAGGACTGAATAGTTCCCTCATTGAACAAGCAATGGAGAATGAATACATCCAGGTCACAGTCAACCTGGTCCTCAAAGACCTCCTAGTTTATTTGATTAACTTCAGCCAAAAGACAAATTATATAGTTATGTGACATCTGAAAGTGACTTTGATAAAACTGGGTACATGGTGACCTAGAAACCTTTAGACGTTGTTGGATAGGAGTAAGTATAACAATGTAAAGCCCTTTTCTCTCTGCGGCCAATATTCACGGGATCAAAATAACTATTATGTATCCTGTGTGCTTCTATCTGTCCTGGCTCTTTTCATTTAATCAGATGCCTCTTTGGAAATTCCATTTTCTCCTCTTCAGCTTTGTTTCCTAGAGAGAACTTTTTTGGCCATGCTGTCTTGCATATATTCTGTCCTTCTGTTTGGACAAACTTTGGAGCTGTGACTACTCAAGTTTCCCACAGGAGCGACTTGTAAATTTGATGTTTATTAACTCAGCTGAATTAGGATTTATCATTTTCTTTTCTGAGATGTCTTAACATAATACACAGGAAAGTCTTAAACAAGTTTATCAACTCTAAAAGTTGGTTTCTTAACAAGCAATATATTGAAGGAATCCTTTTACTTCCTTTGTTCACCATTATTTCTTACTGCATATATTTTTTAGATGCTAGAAAGATAGAGAGTGGAGTTTCTTCTTCCCACAACTGCAGTATCCTTTCCTCCTTTACGAAGCTGGAAATCCTTACACAGTTATATTTACTGTTTTCAGAAATCTTGGTAATAATAATTTCCATTGCATTATCTAATGTCTAATCAGTCCATTCATGGAGGTAAAATCCCAAGCTCCTTTCTAAATGGACTTAGAGTCTAGACCAATACTTCCCAAACAGAGCAATTCACTTAATAAAGAAGTATCTAAGAATAAAGAAAAGTTTCTTATATCATAGGTTTGCCGATTGTTTCTTTGAATAATTTTGTCTGTTTCTGTTGAATATAGTTTTAACAGTGATTTGGGAGATTTTGTTGGAGAAATGAATACTGTGGGCTATTTGAAGTGTGATGGCAAATTGCTTTTCTGGTTTTCTAAACTTGGTCAGAACAAACGAATCAAGAATAACAGACTAAGTTGAACATATTCAGGTTTTTTTGCTAGCCAGAATTAAATGTTTGTAAAATATTCAGAATAATGAAAGAATTTGTTCCACGCGCACATGAACAGTTTGATCTGATGATGACAATGCAGTGATTTTCTTGATTTATTGCCTGATTGCCTGGGAATCAGCTTTTTTTTTTTTTTTTTTTTTTGATTTATTTATGTGTTTTAGATGAGGTCACAGGAGCAGAAGGAGAGAGAATCCTGAAGCAGACTCCCTGCCCAGGCATGGAGCCCCACATAACTTTATCTCAGGACCCTCAGATCATGACCTGAGCTGAAGCCAAGTGTCCACAGCCCAACCACCTGAGTCACCCAAGTGCACCCTGTGCTTTAGCTTTTTAACAAAAAAGACACTGAAATTTCACTTGTCATTGTACTTGATGCAAACAACTCATGCAGAAGTTACTAGCTGCCTGTCTCATGAATACTGACATCACATATATACAACATGTCTTGAGCAAGGATGAGCTCAGGGAAAATATAATTTATATTCCACTGAGTGAAGTAATCTTTTGAATTTTACTCTATAGTCTCCAAGGTTCTATGAAGACTTTCATTTCTTTTTTCCACTAACATAACAAAAACTTAGGGCAATTTAGAATGTACGTGTCAAATCAATCCCAGCACAAAGTTCTATTAACTCTAACGATGGTAGTGGAGAGTACATCTTGTTATCATGAGGGTTCTAAGAAGTCTAAGGGAGAGGCAACACAGGAAGCTTTTAAGAAACTTCTCAATGGCATTTTCCTCAGGCATAGGACCATTCCCCTATTTGAACACTGACAAAAAACACTCATAAAATTCTTCATACTTTATTCAGCAAATGATCCATTAGAATAATTTTCTAAATTTAGCATTTTTTTAACTTCAACTTCATCATTAATGGGGGTTTTGCAAAAAAAAAATGCCTTTGTATTTTTATATTTTATTTTATATAGATATACCTTATCTAATGGTAAGTCACAAATTTAATACACTACCATAGGATGACCAGATCAGGTGGAGGCCAGCAGCATGGGCAGGGAAAGGATTCACCAAGACAGAGCAAAGGAGATGGAAATTTATTGACTACACTGCAAGGGAGCAGTGGACAGGGCAGCAAAGGAGAGACTGTCTGCCAGAAGGCACTGATGGGGTGGGAGGGTGGCAGGGGGCTGTTGTTAAGTGAGGGAGG